CCTGCCACATATCTTGTAGCATAATTGTTTTTGCTTCTATTTTCTGCCGGAAGCCGGTCCATCCTTGCTGCTTGACACAGTCGCTGCAGGGAAGAAACATCTGCACAGCATATGTTTCAAGGGACCTGGCATATATAGCATATTGTTCTTAATATGTTTGCTCTCCTTAAGCGCCATGTGTTTTAACCAAGGTCACCTCTCCGAGAAAGGTTGTTTCCCCAGGTGGGGATTTTTCCCCGAGGTTAGGGAGGGGATACAACCCCTTAACTAAGTGCCAGGCGGGTAGTTAAGCTACATAATCTTTACTCCCTGGAATGGAGATAAGAAACGCCCTAACCTTTGTAATAGAAATTGACAGGATTAAAATCGGCTGGTATAAATATAGATGTAACAAGACAATAAACATCAGATCCTGATCAGTTCCTAACCAGAACTCCGACCAGAACTTTGGCTGGAGATCCTGGCTAGAGGTCCTGACTAGGCTGCTGATCAACTGAAGGCTGTCTCCGTGTCATTCCTTCATCGTCGACTCCGTCCACACCTTTGGGGGCCCCTGGACCTGCTGGGGCTGGACCCCAGCAATTTTCCTTGAGTTTCTCAAGGGCAGGGACTGGGTCTTGTTGATCTCTAAGCCTTACACCTGATACAGAAAGGTGTTGAGCAGATTTTAATTAGTGAGTGGAAGATAATCAGAATAACCACTAATGTTTATTGAGCACTTAACTCAACAAGCATCTTAATTGCATTAATTTATTTTAATCTTCTCAACATCTCTAAGATAGGTACAAATGAGGAAACTGAGGCACAGAGATTATGTGACTAAACTAAATCACAGTCAGGGGTAGAGCTGGGATTCAAGCTAGGTCATTTGATTCCAGGGTTCCAGACAGAGCTAATTCTCTAAGCCAATTAGTTATACTGCCTTGAAGAATGAATAAAGAAATGGCTACAGGCAGAGAGTGTCCCCTGAGCTATAAAAACATGTTATCTTGCTAATAAATGTTTAGACATAGAGCAGCAAAATTGATTGGATGGATGGATGGATGGTAGATAAATAGATAAGTAGATAGAATGAAAGAATGAATTGGGACCCCTGGGAAACCTATCCCTCATCCCTCTGACCGGCTCAGACAGTGCCTTATTTTCATATGAGATGTTTCTGAATACATGTACAAAAAAACTAAAGTAACTTCATCTTACATGGGGAATTTCTAAAGTGTAATATGAAATCCCTAATTAGAGCTTACCCTTAGACAATGTCTTTAATGTATTTTTAGTATTTCATAAACATTTTTATTCCTTCACAGTTGAACACAGAATCAACTAATTCAAGTTGAATCTCTGATTAAGTCTAGTTATCTATCTAATAATGTGCAATTTTTGCACAGTAGTAGGTTTTTTGTGTGTGTGTTTTTTTAATTGATTCCAGAGAGGAAGGGAGAGGGAGATAGAAACATCAATGATGACAGAGAATAACTGATTGGCTGCCTCCTGAATGTGCCATACTGGGATCAAGCCCAAAACCTGGCTGGAAATCGAACCATGACCTCCTGGTTCATAGGTCAAAGCTCAACCACTGAGCCATGCTGGCTGGGCAGTAGTAGTTTTATGAGACCTATGCTTTTAATAATATTAGTACTTTCAGTTTTCCATTTTCTAGTCTTTTTTTTTTCTGAAATAAGGGAAGTATGCAATAATATATTCATAGTTACACAGACATTGTTGTAAGATAGTGCTGCTGAAACTTCACTTGGGTTTGCTGGTATACAAAAGTCTGAATTTAGCATATTAAAGGCAGTTTAGGGGGATCAATATATAATGAACAAAAATACACTTCATATGACAGTCAAATGTCTCTTTACAATATGTTATCTATAACAATAAAAGGGTAATATGCTAATCATTCCAAACATCCTTCTTGACAAAGATGGGGCCGGAAGGAAGCCAGCCTGGGTCCCAGGTGCCTGCTGGTGGCCAGAGGAGGGAAGCCTGGGTCCCGGGTGCTAGAGGGAAACTGATGTCAGCAGCCGGTGGAAGGAAGGCCTACTCTTGCATGAATTTTCGTGCACCAGGCCTCTAAGTGATCGCCCTACTGGCTGACTGCTCAACCGTCCCTCTGGTAGCTATGACGTGCACTGACCACCAGGGGGCAGACGCTCAACACAGGCGTGGAAACCACAGGCATGGAAACATGGAACAGACTGATGAATCTCAGAGGAAAGGGAGGAGGACGGTGGAGGGACAGCGGGAAGAGATTAACCAAAGTTCTTATATGCATACTAGAGGCCTGGTGCACGGATTTCTGCACCAGTGGGGTCCCTTGGCCTGGCCTGTGCCCTCTCACAATCTGGGACCCCTTGGGGGATGTCAGAGATTGACAAAGATGGGGCCGGAAGGAAGCCAGCCTGGGTCCCAGGTGCCTGCTGGTGGCCAGAGGAGGGAAGCCTGGGTCCCGGGTGCTAGAGGGAAACTGATGTCAGCAGCCGGTGGAAGGAAGGCCTACTCTTGCATGAATTTTCGTGCACCAGGCCTCTAAGTGACCGCACTACTGGCTGACTGCTCAACCATCCGACTGGTAGCTATGACGTGCACTGACCACCAGGGGGCAGACGCTCAACACAGGCGTGGAAACCACAGGCATGGAAACATGGAACAGACTGATGAATCTCAGAGGAAAGGGAGGAGGAGGGTGGAGGGACAGCGGGAAGAGATTAACCAAAGTTCTTATATGCATACTAGAGGCCTGGTGCACGGATTTGTGCACCAGTGGGGTCCCTTGGCCTGGCCTGTGCCCTCTCACAATTTGGGACCCCTTGGGGGATGTCAGAGAGCTGGTTTTGGCCTGACCCCCGCAGGCCAGGCTGAAGGACCCCACTGGTGCACAAATCCGTGCACTGGGCCTCTAGTATATATATAAAAAGCCAGCGACCAGAACACCTTAATGGCCATAACGACCAGTTGCTATGACGCCCACTGTGGCCAGCAA